ATTGGTCGTAGGCGAAGGTACACAACAAAACAACGTACAGAATAAAGCCATAATCGCATTCGCTGGTTCATCTGGCGTCCCAATTATTGGAAGTGATTCACTGATAGATTACAGTAAGCCTTTTTTTATAATTTAAATTAACCAGAATATAAATATAAACTAGCTTTCAGAAATTTATCAAATGCGATTTGGGTTTCTAGTTCGTCTGTGAAACTAAATAAAACCAGCGAACTTTTGAAGCGATGAAAGTTACTAGGAACAGAAATCGTGAAATCGAATGTAAAAATAGGTCAAAGGTCATAGAAATGCGAAAATATTTTGGGGTAAATATGCTATACATTTAATAAAGGTCAATTTTGATGATTAGGGCAGTTTATTGCAATATTACCCTCTTAAAGATCGGCTTTTCGAAATAAACAAAAATTCGAATTCAAAATAAAATCGTTCTATTTTTGCTGCAGACGTTCGGTCCGCGCCTTTCACGCACTGAGCGAGATCTCGCAGTGTACGGGAAAACATTTATTTCTTTCAAGTATAAAAGTCCTTACTCGGTAATAGTCACGTGACACGGTTGTATATTATCGTATCGTACAGATAATCGGATACCAAGGACTAGGCAAGAAAATCATGGGAGACGAGATTATTTCTCGCAAAGCCACCATAGTGATAACAGTAAATATGTTTTAAGAAATGTGCGAGCATCCCCATGATATGATGCACCTGTAAGTCGCTCGGAATCTATACATGACAATAGCAAAAGTAGTAAAATTATATATGTCACGACCTTGTTCGAGTTGCCATATATCAACTCACAGGTTTCAGCAGGTGCTTGTTCCGCCTCGACACTGCCACGTCCACGGGGAAACCCGCTAACTAACTATGGTAATCCGTCTCCCAGGAGCCCGGGGATGGACTCATTATTGTGCTCAAGCGCCAATAGAATAGATTAGAATAGAACTTCATTTATTTTATGATTAAAATATCGCGCCTGTTTCCAGTGTTATATTTCAGCACGGCATGTATCCAATTTTCGCTAGCCGATTTCACATATGTGGTCCAAAATAGAATACGAATTGATCTTATTAAAATCTAGTAGCCGATTCTGTCTTGCACAAATATTATCAATGTCACAGGAATTACACCAAATGTCAACTGACAATATATACAATTGTAACTACCGTAGATTCGATACGTGAATATTAAATTAGGGAAAATACATAATAATACTCGCATGTAAATTAAGTATCAGCGCTTGTCCATTTTTACAAAAAAAATATAATCTTCACTGTGTCGGTGACATTTCCCACTAATGCCAAACATAAATCGTCGAATTGGATATATTGAATCACAGACTCGTATTATCGTGAGTTTAGTCACATTATTGTGTATCCATTAGTTTTTGTCTCTTTTTGGATCTTCTACTAGCTAATCATCGTCGTAAGATTTTCTTAAGTAGTTTGTCTTGGCTGGAGATATCGATTTCGATGTTAACTTCAGACAGAAAATGACAAATTACGTGTATTTATATGAAACTTATTATAGTTTCAAAAGAGACCGCCACAACTGATAGATCTGACATAATCTTTATAAAAAGGGTCATGCAATTTATAAAATAGTTCAAGGACATGGGATGTTTCTGAGTTTGCAGAACCAGATACCATAATATTTACCAAGAAAGAAAGTCAAATGATAACAAAGTGAAATGTCAAGGTTATTCACACCACAGAAAAAGTATACAATATTAATTAACTGTATATTAATTATTCATTTTTAATTTGGGTTCATTTGTAAATTGACCATGATCATATCCCCCCCCCCTCTCCAGCTCAGTTATCGACTTAAAATGAGCGTGCAATATACGTATTTGTTTAGCACTTGAATTAAATTAAAATACGCCATACCATCGCCGTCTCTTTAACCCTTAGGTAATATAATCTCGTGTACACACATTCAGTTCAACAATGAAAATATTACTATAATTCATAGTAGCTGTTTTCAATTTTAACATATGTAATTGAAGACGGGCTATTAGCAATCGGCGACTGCCATCTCACAGACTGATGATGAATTGAAAGTCGACTTCCAGTCGGTAATGCAGACAATCTATTTTTATAATGTGGTAGTCTGTTTAGCAGTCATAGGTCACCAGGGCAACAATCAGATAATGTACCTGACATTAATGATTAATTTTCAGTAGATTCACTTTATTACTTATTATTGTTTTTGAGATTCAGTTTTAATAACAATCAGGGCTTTGCAGGTGAAACCGCCGCAACGCTATTTTTGGCATCGACTTTAAATTTCTAATAGTTTTAAGGCAATTGTAAGTTATAAATAATTGAGCGAAAAAAAACAACTCACGCAATTCTCGACGACATAACGAGAAAATACATATTCAGACTAGAATCGAATAAACACACCCATAATGTGTAATCTTGATTAAAAGCAATTATTAGTGATAATGTTACAGAAGCTTTATACGTCGTGTTGTCTATTGCATGACAGACTATTTTTATCCGAGTGGTGTCAACATAACTCGGATTAATCATTGTGATAGCACTTTTTATTTTGGTTTACAAAATTATTATAGAATTTTCTTTATTTTCAATCCGACCAGTTTCCCATCGTTCCCTCGTAACCACTGGCAGGCCTTATTCGAAGTACGTATTTTATAATACGGAATCCCATCCATGGTTGTCACCAATTGATTAAACATCTCGTCTTCTATCTTGTATTTTGTTTAATCAGCGTACACCCTGTTGGCGATGAAGAACTGCGTGTCACCTGACACAGCAAATAGAGCAGATCTCCCGGGGCATTTTCTTCGTTAATTATTGAAATGGTCGCGCTAAAACATATCCCATCCCGGCTCCTCGTGCTTCTTGAATAATATCTACCGCTCTATGTTATGACATGTCTGGTAGTTCGCCTTTCTAACCAGCTAGGTAATCATTATCAGAAGACAAATAAACTTTAAACATCGTATAAGCGAGTTTGCTACATCAGAAATAACCCTTTCTTGCAGACGAGTTTGAACCCTGACTTCCATGACGTCAGTAGGTACGTCGACCTGATTGCCATCGTTTGCCTCATTTGTTTCAATAATAGAGGCGGACGAGAACGTGAAATTAGACCGTCATTTGCAATTAACATCGTATTTTTTAATAAATAGCACATTTTTGTCAGAATGTTTGACTTAATAATTTTCAAAAATTTCGGATCCACGTAGAGGTAAAATTAATACAATAAGTACAATAATTACCCAGTATATTCATTTTACACGCGTGTTCTATTAATTTATTCCCTCGGAAAACGTAGATAAAAACATTGAACCGAATAAAACAAATAATCTGGTGGCTAAAATGGTCACATTGTAGCAAATGTTTCGATTTTGTTGGCTTGAGCAGCACAGCTATGGTGAAAATCAATTATATTAAAACGCGCGTTGAAGATGCTAGTCGAAATCAGCCTTTCAAATGCAATGTCGTGTGTTAAAAGCTTTGTGACGTATATGTTACTGGATTCATGAAAGGTCTCTACGTCGCAACCGATTCATGTATCAAAATACACTTGAAATGGATTTATTTCGATCTACGCGTCTTGATAGAATACTAAACCACGCATCGAGTTTTTTTTTATTTATTTCTGAGGAAGTGAATAGTATGATTACTGGTATCGTTAAATGAATAAAACGCACTGAATGCAAAGTTAAACATCACTTCTGCATTCGTGCAAGTGAAAACAGCAATTCTGGCTTAGTGACTGGCGACAATGTTCGTTACAGAATCTGAAAGAGTCATATTTAATTCATTGAGAGTGGGTGCTAGTCTCCAGCGGAGGCAATTCACAAGGCATCCACGTCACGCCTCGCTCAATCTCCCGGTATGTCTTCGCTTAATGCCCACGTGACGAGACGCGCTAAATATACGTATGATCCCCCTATGATGTGGACTACTACGTTACAGCAGTTATACAAGAAAATTAAACCAAATGATCTTTCTATCTGCAATCAATTATATTTGTATCTTTGGCTCACCACAATATCCGCCCAAATCCCAGCCCATGAAATACACACTGACAGTGTACATTATAATAGTCTAGTCAGGTACAATGTTAAGATTGCTAACAAACGAACAAATATGAATGATAGTTTATCTCTATATATCCTGTCTGGTAAATTGCAGTGATCTCACAATTGGCAGTGATTATTCTATTGTCATGCGTGCAATTTAGATGAGAACAATAAGCACGTACATTCGCAAATGCGAGGAGCGTGCCCGCGACTTGGGCGTAGCGTTATCAGGTTAACAGACAAACTGTGTATACCACTGGCGGATCTAGAAATTCGGTAAGGGACACGCTCCAATTCACGTAACCAAACGCTGGGTTTGTCAATTGATTTGTCTTTTTTTTCGGGCTGAAGGGGGAGGCGCGCCTTTCCCTAAATCCGCGCGTGTATACACGTTTTAATAACATGTCCGGTCAACAGTCAACAATCACGAATGTTGTTTAAATTGGAGGCGTGTCACACGGGTTAAATAAGCTGAACTGCAATAAAACGTAACATACCATACGCCTCAATGTGCTAGTATTTATTTAATATTCAACAACCGGCTTCTGTTCATGATTATCAGATCTATCCGCTGATACGGTTTGGCCAAAAATTATAATTAAGAAAAGTGTTTCTTTTCTTCGACTACATGCGTACAGGGTTTTACCAGGTGCGTTATTAAGATAGACAAGAACGTGGAGTGATTCTTGTCTATATAAGTGCCATTATGATTTATATTCGAGATCCTCTACTAAAAACATTGGCATGGTATCTCGAAGCATACTTCGTTCAACCTGCAAGGCACTGTGATGAGAATGCACATTAGCGTGAATTTTACGCACACTCCAATTTCTTTTACTATAAGTGGGTAATATCGAAAACGTTAGACGGTTGTCAAATGTCTTTTTTTTTCTTTAAAAATGTGAATTCAGAATTTGTTTCCACTTACCCATCTAGTAGAACGCCTCCGCCAATTTCTCTCATCAACGATTCCCAGGCAAATTGTGAGTCTTGGCAATATTCCGAGCTCGGCGACTGTTCTAGACTCGGTGAGTGTTCGAACACGCCGTAGTCGACCATGCCGTTATACCTGTAGTGATCCAGCCTGCACGATGTTAATAGCTGAACGAACAGTGATAAAGATTCCCGTGGAAATCACACCAATGTGTTTGTCAGTAGCAGCAGAAGGTGGCGGGACAACAGAATACCACCCTGATCGTCGTCTGTGCGAAATTCGTGATTATACACCGTACGCGTATTTCTGTGTAGTTGTCGTTACCGATGCTTGAATGAAAGTGGCGCTGTCACATTTACTGAATGAGCAACATTCACCACGCGTAGGCATGAATATATTATTTAAGCCCTTCTGACATTTCTTAAAGAAGACAGTTAAAACAATGATTGGTAGGAGTTTAGAATACTAGTGTAATCACACCTCTTTTCATTCTACTTTAAAACATGTAAGGAAATTCAAAGCATGTATATTGCTCAATAACAAACGAGCGTCGACGTCAAATATAACAGCCAGCTCTGTATCAATTATTCCGACATGACGTAGAAAACGGGTTTTAAGACTCGGAAATACTCAGGGGGAGTAACAGCTTCCAGAACAGCTGCGTGATATGAATAATTGTGAACATCATTGCAGTGACGTTGCCAACAAACGTTTCAGCGTTTCTGTGCGGCGTAGAATTTACGCGAGGCTGTTCCAACAAACAACGCCTGCCACAATCTGAAATGATCTCGTGGATTATATTTTCACGAGTGTATTCAGATGATGACGAAGGGAACAAATCGATTTCTTATATTAATAAAGATAAAATCGGTTCTATATCTACGCAGGTGTATGACGTAACAGGATGATGTACCAGTTAGCACGGCCATATACAAAACATCACTAAGGAAAACAGAACACATTCAAGCATGATGCGGATGCATATGCCAATCCGTCTCCTAGCAACAACACCTCTTTGGTCGTATATCGTATGTCTAACTCAGCCTCGGAGGATGATTGATAACAGTGCAATTATCGGATCAGTCTGACTTCTAACTACGTAACATGCAACTGAATAGAGTATGTCACGTGTTATTCAAAGGAAATGTGAACAAAGAAATCCTGGGCGACAGCTGAAAACATTTCCCAATTTGCACATTCATTTCTGAGGCTCATTACACCGAGAACCCGGATGTCAAACTGTCAGCGACAGCTGCCCATATATATGATGATTTATTTCAAAGTGGCCAATTGGCTTGTTAGAATCGTTGTCTTTGTAACTATGATTTGAAGAGGTCGATGATTGTATTTGCAATGGATATTCTATATATCTTTTTCCATCATTTCGCTCCATTCATAACACTTCATTACGTGAATATGTCGCATTGCGGCTCCTTGCACATTTCATAGTTATTTCTGAGCTTGATATCAAGACACATATTTTAGCGAGTAGCAAAGTCATTTATCAACGTGACTACGTTCTTGTGTTTGTTCTGATGATGATGATATTTATAGCGGTGTATGGGGATGGCAAATGGGCTTCACCGCAAAATATTCACTATGCTCACATTTTTTTTGGAGGGCCTCTTATGTTATGAGTGACCAACGAGCATCGGTCAAGTTTGGGTCTCACTGGGCAGGCCATTCTACTTTTGTTTTTGCGTTATAGAGTGAAGACACGATAAATCAAAGCACGTGCGCATTTGAGTAGACTATTATTTCGCCGAGCATTCTAAGTGCGTTTCAGTTAAATCTAACAAAGCTACGTGCTCAGTTATATAACCCAATGAATACTAGTATTTCAGAGTGTATAATATATCGACATGCAATGTCAACCTAAGATACTCAGCAAGAGTGAATATTAAAGGGACGGGTAACTCAACCCAGGGTAACACACACACACGTGTTGAGCTTTCATTTTTGTATTTGGTCCTGAATGTTTTTGTATACGGCACGAAACTGAATCAACTTTTAGGCATTGGCGTAATCTACGAAAATAAATGTAAACATACACATATTTC